AAAAGAATATATCTTAAAAATACAGGCTCAGACAGGAAAATTGCTTTGGTTCGAGACCAGTATGGGCTACACAATGAATTCCAGACCAGCTTGAGCTTCAGTGTGAGAATCTACCTTAAAAAGAAAGAAATAATAAACCAAGTACGTATTCTCAACACCCAGGAAGCAGAGGGAGAAGGACTGCTTCAAGTCTGAGGTCAGCCTGGCCTTCATAGAAACTTCTAGGCAGCCAGGACTACCTAAGACATCTTTCAAGAAGCAAAGAAAGAAACAGAAGAATATCTATCTATCTGAATAGGAACTACTAAGACTTACAGACCATCAAAAGAACAAGCACACAAAAACAACCAATAAGGGGCTGGAGAGATGGCTCAGCAGTTAAAAACACTGGACCCAGATCCGGACCCAGATTCAATTCCCAGCACCCAAATGGCAGCTCACAACTGTCTGCAATACAGTTCCAGGGGTTCCACCACCCTCACACAGACATATACACACAGGCAAAACACAAATACACATAAATTGAGAGAGAGGGAGAGAGGGAGGGAGGGAGGGAGGGAACCAATAAACATGGGAAAGAATGAAAAACAACCTGAGGGTATGGAGATATTTTAAAACAGTGGTTCTCAACCTTTCTAATACTGTGACCCTTTAATACAGTTCCTCATGTTGTGACCTCCGACTACAAATTATTTTCATTGCTACTTCATAACTGTCATTTTGCTACTGTTATGAATCATAATGTAAATATCTGATATGCAGGATACCTATCTGATATGCAACCCTGTGAAAGGGTCGTTCAGCCCCCAGTTAAGAACCACTGCTTTAGAACATTCCTACACTCGCTATTGCTAATTCTCTTCCTGAACCTTCAAAATATGCTTAAAGAATGTGTCAGAAAAAGAGCTGCTAACAATTTAGTTTTCTTTCTTACCGTACAGACATAAACAACTTAGCCCAGTCCAAACTGAACACATCTTGTCCATCAAAACCAAACCTTCTCCTTGTTTCCCCTTGGCATTAGTAACCTAACCACTCAAACTATCAACTTCAGCAAAGTCCTGCCAGTGCTGCTGGGCTCTCTGTCATCTCTTTCTAAAAGTCATCTTGTACTGAACCTGCCAAAACCTTGTTCCTAAATAAAAATATAACTACATCTCTTTATTGAGTCAATGTAATACACTAATTTTCTATTTCCTCCTGGATTAAGTTTCAAAAACTCAGGAAAGAAGAATTTTAGAGGAGTAAAAATACTCTATCATTATAAACTCACAGAATGTACACCACCAAAAGAGAAACCTAATGTAGGATATGTGCACTGTTATAATGATTTCTCAGTGTGGAGTCACCAAACATAACAAATGTGCCACTCAAATGGGACACTTCTGATATGGATAATAACTAGATAAAGAAAGATTTCTGTGTTGCTGGAAGAGCCAATTCCTTGATCTGTGTTTCATGTGTTTATCTTCTAAAATATATAGTTAATGTGCATGATTTATATATTTCCTGAAAATTATGCTTCAATTTCTCTTATTATGGTTGTATCTTTAGTTTCTAGTTCGTTCCCCCCACGTATATGAGTTGAAATCCCAGAAACTTAGGGTATCTTCTAAAAATTAAGTTCATAATTTGAAGTTCAGCTAGAATAGTTACTCTTCTAGTTTCTAAGGGAGAAAATTG